CATAAATAATAAAATAAATGATTGCGACAATTAGCGTTGCTTGCTTGCTCGTTGTATATAATTTGATAATTTAAAGTTACTATATAAAATGTCTATTTTAATAAAGAAATAATAGAATTATATATTTTCTTACATACATTTGATATCGTATAAAAAAATCATAGAAAAGTTGACATTGAATAACCATTTGAAATCGCGTAGAGATTATTTTTTTTTTACAATCTCAAGCTTAAGACGTACATAGTTCATGCTTCTCTATTAAAATATGATTATTTATATGTACATTCAAAACTGTTTAATGTTGACATTTTTTATATGTACTATAAAAAAATATTTAATAAAAATCGCACAGAGAAATAAGAAGTGTAATAAATATTAAATTGCCATCTGAATTTTTATGCATTGCTAATATCATTTTCGTGTAAAATTTTTTTATAGACAACTAATATTTGCATGTACTATAATACTTGTATATAATAAAATATTTATAGATATATAATATACATACTATTCCGCAGATCCTGATTTTCTTTTTCAAGTTTAACAACATGAGGTGTAACATCTTGATTTGCAATATGAGCAAGTACTGCAATATCATCCATCTGAAAAATATAATTTCATATTCTAAAAATTATGCAATAGTTCCTATTATAATACAATTAGTGAAACAAAATTAAAATAAATATTTTTATTATATAATCTTAGTCATAAAATTTAATAAAATATAATGTTGTTATAATATATTTATATCAGTAATATTAATAAATTTATTCTTATCATTATACAATAAACATTTTCATATATAAATATATTTAAAGTAATAATTAGTTTATATAAAAGCCTTTTCCGTTTAACATTTGCGATATAAATTGTTTATATTCTAAAATGCAGAGATGAAGCGATGAAAGATAAGAATGGATTTAAATAATATGGAACATTAAATTAGTAAGCAGATTGTGAAAATTAATTACAATATATAAAGAGTGAGCAAAGAGAGTACTCACACACTGTAAAGACTGTTTAATATGCTGTCGAGCCTTCGCAACCTCATTGGCCAAACTTCCAACAGCAGGCAATATTGGGCAAGTGGACTGTTGAGTTCCCTGCATCCACCGAGATTAAAAATAAGCTCATACACACACACAAACACACACGCACGCATACACACACACACACACACACACACACACACACATTAATTATTCAAAACAACTACATGCCATATCTCCACTAAAGTTAACATTAATAACTAAAACTGACTCACTAAAGATATATAAATATGTAGTTATATAATAAAAAATATTAAAATGTTTTTTGCTTCTCTTTTTAAGAATTTCTTTATAATAAAAATTAGAACAACATAATCTCTAGTGATAATATCGATTTCGATAAGCATTTGTTTTTCACGGTGAAAAAAGTACCAATTAACTTTTATCATTAGTTTTATCAGAAGAAAATATATATACTTTTATTTTTACAAAAATTTTTCAAACTTATTTATTAAATACATTACTTAGTTATTTATTAAATACATTACTTAGTTATTTATTAAATACATTACTTAGTTATTTATTAAATACATTACTTAGTTATTAAATACACATCTTTACTTATTAAACTAGCACACATGTGGAGATAGGCATTGCGCATATTGTAGCAGAAATATTATAAGAAAAACAATATAAAATATAAAATTACTATAAAGATGCGATAGTGTATTATAAAAATCAACAGATTACGTTTATAAACCATTGAAATGTATTCTCACATAAAAAAGATGCAGAAAACTCATTGAATTATAATCTGGTAAAAAATTTGAAATCACTCAATATCATTGATAAAAATGTGCAAGTAAATAGAAAACAAAAAATAAATTTTATTTTCGCATATAACAGAAAATATATTATATCTATGAATAAATTTATAAATTTTCATTATAGCTTAGTTTTTAATATTATATTTTATATAATATAAAATTCATTTAGTATGATTTTGCTAATTATTAGAGGTGATTTCAAATTTTTGACCGATTTATCTCTAAGTAAACATGCTATTACTCAACTTTTAAACACAAAAAAAAATTTACAAAAAGCAAAGCAAAAAAATTACCCAAAGTGTTTCTACACATATTTTAATAATGATAATTGCTGTGATATAAGCATTATTAAATAGGCTATTTAGAAGTTGATAATGTTAGAAAGCCCAAAATAATATTGAAATAAAAGAAGTAAAACTTTCACTTTGAATCAACAAAAATGTTAATTATTATTTCTTATAATAATTTATCTTGTTATTTAATTATCAAATCAGCTATGTGTGTATATTTTAAGCCCTTATTGCAAAGATGGATTCCTTTAATTTAAAATCAAGAATTGTGACGATTATGTCACTGTGATAATACATGCATATAACCATACGCATACAGCAGTCAGAAATATATGTGTGTGTGTGTGTGTGTGTGTGTGTGTGTGTGTGTGTAGTTTATTTACAAGTAAGACCTCAGAGTACAAAATAAAAATATAAAATGGAACAAAGAAACAAAATGCCATTATTTTAATTGAAAAATGTAAGAAATTTCGCTTTTTTGCATAACGGTGTAATCAACATTAGCTAAAAATACAATTACAAAATAAAATTCTGTCAGCTAAAAATACAATTTATCTATATTATATCAAAGATACATTGAACAATAAACCCACAGATCGCATTAGAACATGTACCTGATCGGGCAATTGTTCTTTATTTCTCGCAAATGGCATTACAGCTTCTTTATTTCCCCCAACATCGTTTCCTTCACTTCCCCTATTTTTATTTCTCGTATCCTCTTTATTTCTTTTTTCTTTAGCCTCTTTCGCGATATATTTTTTAGATTTCTCATTAAAAGAAGCTTTTTCTTTCTCCTTCACATTATCCCTTGCATTATCGCACTTTTCGCTCGTTTTTGCATTTTCCTTATTCTGCATGTTGCATACATCCACGGCATCTTTATTGATTTTCGCGTTTCTTCCTTGGCATTTAGAACGTTTCACATTTGAGTCATTCGAGTCATGAGTTAGCTTATTGTCTTTAGACTTTTCAGCCTTAGACTTCAATGTATTAGTACTGATTAGATCTTGGCACTTATCAGTTATAGATTTGTCAGACTTAAGCGTGCAGCTTCCCACAATCTTACGAGACACCACCTTGAAACATGTCCCAAGCTATCCAAATAGAGATCAATGTCTTCCAAATAATCAAGCAAAACAAAATCGTTTCTCTTGTGCAACCAATACATACAACTGCTATTTGACACGCATTATAATTAAATACGTTTATGTAATCATGTATAATGTCTAAATATGTTGATTTGAAGCACATATTAAATGTCATACATTGATATAATGTAATATTTAAATTATTAATCAACAGATTATTAATCAACAGATATAAAAGAAACATGACTTACAATCGAAAGATTATTATTTTATTAGTTTATTTTTAAAATTATGGAAACAAATTTGAGATATATTGGGAATGAATTTTACATTTCTCATTGTATAGAATTTTTATCAACATTACAAAGCATGACAAGAGAGAGACGGAAGAAGGAGAAAAAGAGGAAGGCAGAGAAGACAAAGAGGGGGGGAGGGGATTTTATTATCACCAGATATTCCCGCATATGTGTAAGAAATGTTGATTATACAGTAACACAAACATGATGCAAACATAGAATGATAAATGCGCACTATAAATACTGTTATTGAGATTAGTAAAGTCACTCGGTAAATTATGAATGTACTTTATCAGAAAAAATATATAGATTTAAAGAAAAAATTTGGTATTAAAATTCATGGTTACTAAAGTTAATTTACCCAATGATCTATATGATTACATTTTTAATCAATCCCATTCCCTGCCAACAACTCTTTTTATTCATTGAGCAGTGAATGATCGTAGCAATAAACAAAGAATTTCTTACCTTGGCCATTTTCTCAAAGTACTGCCGTTCTGCTTTGTCATAGGATGGTTTATCGAACCATATCTTTTCTTTAGCCAATGCAACGGTTGCCATTGTAGCAGTAGTCATCTTTTCGATATTTTATTTTTTACGAAGCAAAAATACTATGAATTATTTCTGCAAACAAGAGAAACAAGAGAAACGAGATAAAAAAAAGAATTCAATTAAGTTACATAAATGTGATTCTTCCCTCAAATTATATTCCCCTCTCTTCTCGCAAAAATCAGTTTAAGAATAAAAATATGACTAATGAATGACATATTCATTACATATTTATTATATAAAAATACAAATTGTTTGAAATATAACATAACGATAACATGCCTATTAGTGATATGCAATTATTAAATTAATACAATCAGAAATACAATTGAAGAATTAAAACTATCAAGAATAAAATATAAAATATCCATTAACATTAAGAATTATCATTGTTATCATCAGGATAGTAATATTTAATCCATGGTTTATTTATAGCTTCAGGTTTAAGGACTTGCAACATGTATTTATGATTTTCATCCATGTCTTTTTCTTCTTTAACTTTATTTTTAATTTCATCTAATAAATGAAATATTTTGTGTTCTAAGCCTTTTGGACATACACAGGGATATATCTCTTCTGGCTTAAAATAATATATAAATTTTTTGAGTTCGTCAAATGAAGCATGCGCGGAATAACATACGTTAAAAGTCCTCTCTCTATAATAATTCCATTCTCCAACTATACTTGTATCTTTTCCCTTCCATCTTTGTGCTGACGGTACAATGATTAATATGTCTTTCTCGAGAACATCAGTACGACATTCCAAAATTGAGTGATCTAACTTATTTATACATGCGTGTAAACGTGTAACTAACGGTTCATTTGTAATATGACATTTCAAGTCTGGGATACGACAATAGCTGTTATACACGCGATCTTTTACATGAATAGGTATATTTAAAAATCTCGACAATTCCATATAGAGGAACTCAGAACCATATAAAGCAGAACATTCCAGAACAACGACATTCCTTGGGCTTTTTTCCAGCCATTCATTGACAATTTCACATATCTTTTTTATACTTTCTTCTCTTGTTGGAAAAAAGGTAAAATCAGGATCCAAAAATGTTGTATCTAAATATATCTTATTGAACCTCTTTGGAAATACATTAAAATCTCTGCGATAATGTAGCGATGCTATCTTTTTGTAATCTTTTGGATTAATTCTGAAATCTCCAGTATATAATACTAACTTATCCATTTTTTCAAAGAGAAACATTACAGATCCAGGACAATGTCCAGCAGAAATACATGTTACAAAAAATGTGTCAATTCTTCTATCACAATTCTTGCTTCTATATTCAATAAGAATTTTCTCATCAAGAGTAATATCTTTTACACAAGTTTCTATATTGCAATATTTAGCTTCTAAAAAAGCTTTACTAATACGAGTACAATAAAGATATTTGTTATACTGTTTTAAATGTTCAAAAAACTTATAGTTTAAGCCTTGCATATGATCACAATGACAATGGCTAAGGAAATACACAGAGGAGTTTAAATTTTCTCCATCGAAACGATCCACTGAGATGTCTGGAATCTCCTTGATAAGCCCAAGGAACGTTGACATTCTGATGTACAGAATGTCAAGAATTTCCTGTAATGAAGAATCCAGATACAGATCAAACCTATACAAGGATATTAACATAAACTGAGATAATTACAATATAGAATTATAATCATTAAGGTTCTTGCTTCCTATCTTAGATTCATCACTACTATCTCACATTATACAATTTTCAGAAACAATGTTTCTAGATTAAGTTAAAATAAAATTAAGTTATAATAAAAAGTTATAATAAAATTATATATCACATGATAAATATAAGTAAACAAGTATTAAAATTATATGTTTTGTATATGTAAAACAGAGAATAATGTATAATTATATATTAAATATGAGACTAAGTCCTTTATTCATACCAATAACTTCATTCAATTCATAACTGTATGAAGAACTGTTTGAATTTTTTATTCATATTTACGTATCACAGTACCAAAAACTAAAAAATTATTGTATTAAATATTTTATCGTATATTGATATATGTGTCCTCTTTCGCTTTTAATTGAAATTATCAATCAACTTTATTATTAGATTTGATAGGCCGATCTTTCCTCGAAAAATGTTGGCAAATTTTATATATATATAATTCCAATCTATGTACCATGTGTAGTATTGATCGGTGAATTTACATGCTTTGTAAATTTATTTTTGCAATATTAATTGAATAGTATATTGCACGAATCGAGAAAGAATCGGTTCCATGTCAAATATATCAGTTATACCTTGAGCCACGTCCAAATACCAAATTGACTCAATAAATTAAAAATAAGCCAAATCACAGTACTCCGTGGAGGAAATGAGCCAAGTAAAAGGAGCCTGAACACAGTCCTATATATAGTAGTACATACAACTCTCCCGATTTTGTATTGATCAAAATGAAATGCGCATGCGCTTATTAAAGTTCGTATCAGGCTGGTATTAGAACCATGGCACATAAATCCTGGTCTAAAAGTATTTAATCTTTAAGTCGTAAGAAATTGACCAATCATAGTCGATTATTCTTTTCATATTCGATTATAATTGGTCAATTTCTTACTTCTTAAAGCTTAAATCACCTATTGTGGACCGACACTAATAGATGATTTAAGCCTTAAACCTATTTAAGAAACAACAAATCATAGTCGAACAATAGGAGAATAATCGACTATGATTGGTCAATTTCTTATGGCTTAAGTCTTAAATCATCTATTGTAGACCGGAACCTAAAAACTTTAAAACTTAAGCAGTAAGGCCGGCTGCAGAGAGGACGTGGCAAAGCGGCAACGCGACAACGCGATAGCCAATCACCGTATTGTTTTCTAATATATAACTTCGTTAAATCCTACGAGAAAGAAATAAATATGCATCATCTCACTCTAATCAATAATGTGTTTTGGTTAGAGTGAAAGAAATATACATTATCTCACTCTAATCAATAGCGATATTTTTACTTTGCATGTGCATTGATTTAAGTGTATTGTGCATGTGTATTAAACACGTGAAAAACGTGATAATATATTATTAAATAATAGAGATACTAAAATTGCAAAATAATTAGTCATAAATTAATTGTGATAAATCAATAAATCAATAAAAAATGGGT